AGGTTTTGTGACCTGTGTGTGTTACAATTCAACCTTATGTGAATAAAAATAATCATGAAATGTCCATGTTTTTAATGCTTTCTTACTTTAGCAAACTGACCTTTTCCATAGCTATGATAATGAAGTGTGTAAAAGCACATAATAATGCTATTTAATGTGGAAACATACATTTCTTCTGTTGTGACGTTACTCTAAGAGGCCGTTCTTGTCGGCAAGTCTTCTATCATGGTGTTCAGCCAGGGATTAGACCAGCTCTTATGTTATTATTTTCTATTATGGTGCTGAATAGGCATAATGGAACATCCTCAGCCTTCTGCACATTTTCCACAGAGCTGTTATTGAACATCTAATAACTAGTTCACTAAGCATTCAGGGTAGGCCCATCTGCTCCTGAACACTGACTCACGCCGGAGCTGTCATACACCGAGGTGCTGTCGACTTAATCGTTGTGCCTGTTGACAATCTCTTACTCTAAACTGCTATCGATGCTTTACCCGGTGGCCGCTGCGCGAGAGGTTGCATTGACTTAGCTCTCACATGCGGTTCAGATGAGGCTACCGGTCACAAACGGAGCACGTTAGGCAAGATCTCCTTCTGTATAGTGCTTCTCAACCCGGGTCAGGGAACCAACATCACTTCCTGTGTAGAAAGCCTAATTTGGCGACTTGTTGGCTCAGAAAAAAGCTTGAAGGTGAATTATTTAACTGGCTTCTTTGCTTTGTCAGTGAAGACCTTCACTATATCAAATTGGATACTTGAGTAGCACAAGAAAGTCAGTACCTTCTAGCAAAATGTTGCAGTTGCATTTGCATTCAGCCAACATCAGTTAAAACTAACAAGTAACAAACAGTGAATTAGAAGTCTAAAAGGGTTGAAGGTAGGGCAGGGTCATTATGAATCCCCCTCTTGTATTAGTGTTGATATTGATGTCTGTGCTACCGAGCATGAGGTCACGCACCGCTGCTTTTCATTCTCCCCTAATTCTAATGAAAGTGTTTAAAAAAAAGTGTCACACGGCTGTGGAGAGGAAAGCTGATTTAGCCCACCTTCCATCTCGCTATCCTCAGGATTTACTGTGATCGCAGACTGTGGCTGTAATCCGCCGCACGCAATGGGGAATAAGCCTCGTTATCATGTGACATATTTCTTGCTCATTTAAGGGACCACTGCTGCAACTATGGATCTGTTGGAGATCTGTGAGCTGTGCAGAAAATAGACAGTGAAGTCTACTTTAGCCGTCCACTAACAGTTTTTTTTTTTTTTTTGGTCAGTGCCCTCTTAGAGCAGGTTTGGAGAGAGTTTTCTCTCTCAAGTATAACATCAAAAATGTATAAATCAGTCGTTTTTCTAAATTAAAACTGTCCCACAGCGACACCAGCAGGTATAGTTACAGTGGGAGTCGGCGTCTCTCTTGCCTCCACTGAGCCCGTTGAGTTTTAACAGACACGCTGAAGCGTGTGATGGGTTTGGTGGGGGGTAATTGAGAATGAATGGGGGAAAGTCACGTGAGAAGAGGCAATGCCTCCATCTCGATATTATTGGATATGACTGGTTATGATCGGCTATGATTGGTTCATGCCATAAATCACACCTCTTGTGTTCATGTGCGTTCAGTGTTCACAAATCAGTCTGAATGAACAATATAATGGCGTTGGTGATCTGTGGGTTTTTTAGTGAGCAGTCATCTCTGCATCTGTGACCAGTGTTTACCGAGCTCTGATGACTGATGATCCCAAATTAAGTTTATTATTTAAAAGAACAGCTGAACATCAGTTCATAAATAAAATATATAATTGTTTAAATAAAATATATTGTTTAAATTGTTATTGCCTTGAGTTATTATTTTGGAATAAATGTAAAATGCTTAAAAACACTAAACTGATTATATTTATATTTGGTTTTAATAAATAGAATAGCCTATTAATTACATTGTTGATGTAAAAATAGAAAGTGG